AACAAGCTTAAGGAATTTAACATTAATACTGTATTTGTATTATACTCACTATTTCTGGAGGGTAAAACCTTTGTGGATTTCTACTCTATTGGAGATTAAAACCTATGTGATTTTAACGTTTGTTTGTGTCATTCTTTTACAGAAATGACGAATGACAACGGGAACCAGACTGTTCCTATGGTGACTATCAATGCATCGACAAGCCAAACAACGCATTGGCACCGGCGGAAAAACCCGAAAAAAATTTTGGGATTGATTTTAACCGCTGACAGCAAAAGATGTTCTTCTATAATAAGTTGTAATAAGTAAGGATGAAATGTTTGTAGAAAAAGGTTATCTCACTGAGGGCCTTTTCAAGCTGAATGTAATGGTTGTTGAGAATAATAATAAAATTTCAGCTTCGTCTTACTTACTTGAGTCAAATAAATTATGGCATATACGTTTGGGTCATGTCAATTATAAACCCTTGCGAAAAATGATTAACTTGGAAGTATTGCCTAAGTTTGAATGCGACAAATCAAAATGTCAAATATGTGTGGAATCTAAGTATGTTAAACATACTTATAAGTCAGTTGAAAGGAATTCAGATCCTATAGACTTAATTCACATAGATATTTGTGACATGAAGTCAATACCATCTCGAGGTGAAAAAAAGTATTTCATAACTTTTATTGATGATAGTACTCGATATTGCTATGTTTACTTACTTAATAGTAAAGATGAAGTAATAGATGCATTCAAGCAATATAAATGAACTTGAAACGCAACTTAACAAGAAAATCAAAATGATAAGAAGTGATAGGGTGGTGAATATGAATCTCCTTTTGAAAAATATGTTTAGAATATGGAACTATTCATCAAACAATGACCCCTTACACGCCACAATCCAATGGGATTGCGGAAAGAAAGAATCGTTCACTAAAGGAGATGATGAACACATTGTTGATAAGTTCTGGTTTGTCAGAGAACTTGTGGGGGGGAAGTCGTTCTTACGGCTAACCGAATACTAAATCGAGTACCCTATAGAAAAACACAATCCATTCCATATGGAAAATGAAAAGGAAGGAAGCCCAACTTGAATTATTTTAAAGTGTGGGGGTGTTTGACAAAAGTGCAAGTTCCTAAACCCAAAAGGGTAAAAATAGGACCGAAAACCGTTCATTGTGTTTTCATAGGATATGCGACCAATAGTAAAGCATATCGATTTTTGGTTCATAAATTAGAAAATCCTGACATCCATAATAATACGGTTATAGAATCAGATAATGCTGAGTTCTTTGAAAATATATATCCGTATAAAAAGGAATGCGAGTCGATTGGTGAAGGATCTAAATAACCTCGGGAAGAAACAAAAAAAAGTACATTTAATCAGGAGGATCAAAGACGTAGTAAATGTCAAAGAACATCTATTTTATTTGAACTAGATTTTATGACTTTCTTATTGGAAAATGAGCCTCGAACATTTAAAGAAGCTATGTCTTCTTCGGAATTATTGTTTTGGAAAGAGGCAGTTAATAGTGAAATAGAATCCATATTGAACAACCATACATGAGAATTGGTTGATCTTCCTCCTAGAAATAAACCGTTGGGGTTCTAAATGGATCTTTAAGAGGAAAATGAAAGATGATGGCACTATTGAAAAATATATGGCAAGACTCTTGGTCAAAGGGTATAGACAACGAGAAGGTCTTGACTATTTTGATACATATTCTCCAGTTACAAGAATTACGTCCATACGAACGTTAGTAGCGTTAGCTGCAGTTTATGATCTTGAAATTCATTAAATGGATGTTAAGACGACCTTCTTAAATGGAGAGTTGGAGGAAGAAATCTACTTGAAATAACCTGAAGGGTTTGTGGTTCCAGGTATATAAAATAAGGTATGTGGACTTGTTAAGTCCCTTTATGGACTAAAACAAGCACCCAAACAATGGCATGCGAAATTTGACCAAACAATGTTATCAAATGGTTTTACGATAAATGAATGTGATAAATGTGTACATTAAAAATGCTCCAAATCACATAATCATTGTTTTCTTATATGTGGATGTATGCTGATAATGAGTAATGACATTGCCAGCATAAATGCGACTAAGCATATGCTAACTAGCAAGTTTGACATGAAGGACTTGGGAGTTATTGATTTAATTCTGGGAATTAAGATCCATAAGACTCATCAAGATCTAGCATTGTCACAATCTCATTACATTAAGACAGTACTTGAAAAATTCAAGTGAGGTTTGGGAGGATAGTGTGTATGCAAACTTTATCCCTACCTGAAAGGTAGATAAATTATTTCCGATAGATTCTCGGCTCAAGGCAAAATGAAAATAAAGCAGTAGCACAAGTATTAACAACAACAAGATAATAAGAAAATGAAGCAAAGGGGACAAATACGTAAAAGTAGAAATCTAACAATAATATAGAACCAGACTAACACAAATACTACTGGTATGTAAAAGAAACACTCTCGACTACCTACTAGTCTTCTGCCTTAAGCTGAAGCGACACCATATCTTTCCTATTCATGTATCCCCAATACTTCCTTGGCCTACTGCTACCTCTCCTTAAACCCACCAGGGCCAGTCTCTTGCACCTCCTCACTGGGGCATCTGTGCTCCTCCTTTCCACATGTCCAAACCATCTAAGTCTTGCTTCCCGCATCTTGTCCTCCACCGGAGCCACTCCTACCCAGATGCTCTTATTTCTTCATTCCTAATTTCATCCATTGTGGTATGCATGTACATCTATCTCAACAGGGGCGGAGCCATAATGTTGATAGCAGGTTCGGGAACCCAGTAGCTTTTGTTCAAATCCTGTATTTTTATTAAGAAATTTAATAAATATGTATAAATTATTAATTTAGAACCCAGTAACTTAAAATGATTTTAATCCCAAACCCATAAGGTTCAAATTTTAGCTCCGCCTCTGAATTCTCAACATCCTCAGTTTTACTAGTCTCATTCTGGACAAGGGAGTTTTTGACTGGCCAACACTTTGCCACATACAACATAGTCGGTCTAACAACCACTCTATAAAACTTACCTTTAAGTTTAGATGACACGTTCTTTTCATATAACATACCATATGCGAGTCTCTATTTCACCCACCATGCTCCGATACGATGTGCAACATCCCTATCTATTATTTTCTTGGATAATAAACCCAAGGTACTTGAAACTATCTCTCTTAGGGTGACTTGTACATCAAGCATCACGTCCTCACTGAACTTGCACTCCAAGTATTCTATCTTGGTCCTACTCAACTTAAAATCATTAGACCCCATGGTCTGTCTCCAAACCTCTAGTTTCATGTTTACACCCCTCGTGTCTCGTCAATCAAATCAATATCATCCGTAAAATAACATACACCAAGGCACCTCCCTTGAATGTGCCACGTCAGACGTTGTAGCTTGAGGTTAAAATATTCACCATTTGAAAGGAAGTAGGGGTGGGCATTCGGTACTTCGGTTCGATATTTAAGAATTTCGGTTCGATATTTCGGTATTCGGCTTATCAATTGTGTATACCAAATAACGTACCAAAATATTTCGGTACGGTTCGGTATTTCTTATTTTGGTTCGGTACGATTTCGGTTTAAACCAAATCTTCACTGGAAAGCAGATTCGGTTATAATGATAAATGCATAAGATATGGTTGCTCATGCAGTTACTCTATATTTGAGCAAGAAAAATAACCACTGAAAACTTATTTAAACGTTAATATTTTGTATATAGAAAGATTGACCATTGGGCCTTTGCAATGAGCAGATAATTCTCCATGAATTTGAGATTGGTAGTTGGAACTAGTGAGAGTTTGCTTGGTTTGTTGCTGCAACATTTTGGAGGGAGTTTAGTAGATAATATTTGTGATGGGAACAACTGGACCAAAGTGTTGTTATTTAAGCCCTGATTAAGAAGCACATCTTACTATATTATAGTGCTCTTCAACTGCTATAACTGCCCTCAAGTTGTAAACTTAAAATACTACAGTATTTTTCGGGCAGAATTGAAGTGAGCTCTGGAAATTCGTATTAGAATTTGGACTTTTGGGGCGTGGGCTTAAGGTTATTGGGCTAAAAAACAAAACAAAGTTGGGCTTGAACTAAACTATTTCGGTATTTCGGTATACCGAAATATCAAAAACCCAATATCATATACCGAATCGAATTACCGAAATATCGAATTTTTTGTACCGAAATAAACTGAAATACCGAAAAAAACGAAACCGAAATACCAAATTAATTCGATTTGATTCGGAATTCAGTTTTTCGGATTTTATGCCCACCCGGAAGGATAACAATTTTCCCATAATTTGCCTACTTGATACCCATAATATAGTTTCAAACATTTAAAAGGTAGGGAAACAACTTGCCTACTTGATACCCATAATTTGCAAAATAATATGCTTTCAAATTTCAAAGGTAAGAACACGGAAACATCTCGCCGCAAAGAGTATGCCATTTGCCAAAGTAAACGCGGTTGGTCTGAGTTATAACCCCAAATTCCAACAACATATATATTTGTACATTACACTTTTCCACTTAATCAAAAATTAATTGTTGTATATTTTTGTCTTATTAACTTACTTAATTATCATAAGTTAATTAATATGATTTAAAGTCAAATTATTTTTCAATATAGAAGAATTTTCCTTGTTATATTCTCTCCGGTCTACTTTAATTAATTTTTGGCCTTTATTTTTTCTGGTCCATAATATTTAATTTTTTCAGATATCAAGAAGATATTAACTTTTTTTTCCAAAGTTGCCCTTGGAATAAAATGCCTAGGAGTATTTGTTATAAATTCAATGAATAAATTAAGATTAATTTAGTTAATTTTATCATTAATTAATGCTAATTTTTTTTTAAAATATATGTAAACACAATCAAAAAAATTTAATTAAAATTAATTAAAATGAACCGGATTGGGGGAGTTGTAGAAAGGAAACATTACATATATAATATAAGTACTAAAAAGGAAAGAATACTTTTTTACTTGCTTTCATCTACAAAAGGAAAAAAAAATAAAAAAAAATACAAGAGTTAGAGGAGAAAATTGGAGGAGGGAGAATCGGGAGAAAGCATTGGACTACATAAGAAGAGAGAGCGTGGAATGCTGAGATCTTCTGGTGAGGAATCAAGAATCAATACGAAAGTTTAGTGTGCATATGGGGGGTGGTGGTACATTTGTGGATGGTGTTCTTCGCTGGTTTCAACGTCGTCACAACAATGAAGATGCGATCTTGACTGATCTTCAGAAACCCCATAATACCCATTTACAAGAAAGAGCAGAAGATAATAATAATAATCAAGACTTTACCATTACTGACGATTTTGACATTACTGGTCTAAAGCTCATCAAAGTACCCAAACGGCTTAGTTTCCCTATTTCTGCCCATTCTACAATGGATCCTCTCAAAAAGGTTTCTTTTCTTTTTGACCATTTTGTCCTTTTACCTACAGAATCTTGGACCCCCTTTTTGTTGTCTTTTCTTTTGGAGTTTACTGTTTTACTAGAATACTATTAACTGCTTAATTTGATGTGGATGATCTGTTTAAAAGGGCAGCCGGGCACTAAGCTCCCGCTAGGCACTAAGCTCGCGCATAGCAGCCTTACCTAGGGCTCGAACCCGTGACCTGCTGGTCACGTGGCAGCAATTGTACCAGTTACGTCAAAGCTTTCTTTGCGGATGATCTGTCTTGATGTCTGTAATTCACAAACACAGTCATGGTATATTGCACCTACTGATTTAAAATCCTTGACCCTTCTGTTTGAGAATGGATTTTTGCAGCTTAATTCATTCTGATCTTCCAGTCTGTATGTTCAGCAGATGAAAATTTGATAGTCTTTGGTATCATTGTGATCAATGATCGAATATTCTCAGGCCAAATGGTGCTGTAATTTCTGCAAATTCATAATTTTGCCCAGAAATTTGTATTTATGTTAAGTTCTAATAGAAAGTATCAGATGGATTTTGGTCCATGGGGATGTCATGTCAAAGCACCAGCTTTCTTGATTACTTAGCTTTTCCTATTCATGTCAAAGCACCAGCTCACCTTGTTGCGTACAATAGACCCTTATGATCCGTCCCTTACCTGGACCCCGCGAATTGCAGTAGCTTAGTGCACCGGGCTGTCCACTATATTTGTATTTTCTAGCACGTGAAGTTACCTTTAATCTCCCCTTATTATATTTTAACATCAATGTCAATTTACATGGTTAAGAGGAGGGCGTGGGGTATTGCTGCTATTTCACCTTTCAGATGTATATGAGATTTTTTTTAATGGGATGTTCTTTTCCAGAATGCGTTGGAGACGGAATTCTTTACAGAATATGGAGAGGCAAGTAGATACCAAGTTCACGAAGTAATTGGAAAAGGCAGCTATGGAGTCGTGGGATCTGCTGTCGATACCCATACTGGTGAAAGAGTTGCAATCAAGAAAATTAATGATGTATTTGATCATGTTTCTGATGCTACAAGAATCTTGAGAGAAATCAAGCTTCTTCGGCTACTTAGGCATCCAGATATCGTAGAAATAAAGCACATTATGTTGCCTCCTTCTCGGAGAGAGTTTAAAGATATTTATGTTGTTTTTGAATTGATGGAATCAGATCTCCATCAGGTAATTAAGGCCAATAATGATCTTACTGCTGAGCATTATCAGTTTTTCCTATACCAGCTTATGCGTGGACTAAAATATATTCATACAGGTTTGTTCTTTGTATAATTTGAAACGTGCTTTTTGCTACCTGTAACTATAGAAGTAGAAGTTAAAGTTACCTAGGTGATAACCAAACCTGCCGTTTTTGCCCCCTTACCAGCAAATATTTTCCACCGGGATTTAAAGCCGAAGAATATTCTTGCTAATGCTGACTGCAAGTTGAAGATTTGTGATTTTGGGCTTGCTCGTGTATCATTCAATGATGTGCCATCAGCTATTTTCTGGACTGTAAGTTCAAATTTAGAAGGCTTCCTTTCTGCCATTGTTTTTTTATACATGCTTTTTGACTGGTATTTCTGATACATTTATCTTTTCTGATGTTTTAAAGGATTATGTTGCAACTCGATGGTATCGCGCCCCTGAGCTATGTGGCTCCTTTTTCTCTAAGGTAAGATTTTTAACCTTTTTATCTTCTTGATTTTTTATGCAACAACTGCAATGGCACTAATTTTCAGAGTTTAATAGTTCGTTTTGTTTCGTATATGCAACAACTGCAAGGCACATATGTTGAGTACAGTTAATGACACCTGGTGTTAATGTATTATGTTCAAGATTGTTTCCCATTATTTTCTTACTTCAGTCTTTTGCACTTAAGTGTCAACGTATTATGATCAAGATTGTTCCCCATTATTTTGGTACTCCGCTCCTCCAGTCTTTTGCTTTCCTTTGAGATTCCTAGATTATATGTCATTCTATTTCCTTAGGGAGAGGGAAAAACACTTGTGAAAGTTATTATTTTTCACTACATTGGCGTTGATATAGGCAATGGATGAGATGCTAAGAAGCTAATTCTCTTGCATTTTACATTGAAACATGGCTTGGGGACCTATAGTTTATACCGCTTTAAAGACAAAGATTTGTTCCTTGTCAAATTTTGATAAAAGAATTATATTTGGAAAGACGTGGTTTCACTATGAAACAACTTTATCATACATGTGAAGACTTCATTTGTGTTTTTGACAAATCTTTGTTGACTCATTTACATGTGATATATACTATCTCTGAGAGTTCTCTATTTGCAGTATACTCCTGCTATTGATATTTGGAGCATCGGATGCATATTTGCAGAATTGCTTTCTGGAAAACCGTTATTTCCTGGAAAGAATGTGGTGCATCAATTAGACCTAATCACAGATTTGCTTGGGACACCTCCTCCCGAAACAGTTGCAAAGGTCAGTTGTGATATTATATGCATTTCTTTCTGAGGTTTTCTTTGATATTGTGCTATTCTTTTAGCACCATCCTGATTATTTCTATATGCTTTCTGTTCGAAAGTATGTGTTTATTACTTGCAAGTAGACATGTTTGAGAATAAAAGATAAAGTAAAAAGAGTTTTTTGCTGAGAGGTTCCATGGCGTCACCTTTTACATGCCACTTTATTTTTCTTATTTTATGATTTTTTTTTTTAAATTCAAAACTGGCAGATCAGAAATGAAAAGGCAAGAAGATACCTCAGTAGCATGCGGAAGAAACAACCGGTTCCATTTGAAAAAAAGTTTCCAAATGCAGATCCTTTGGCGTTACGCCTACTTGAACGACTGATTGCATTTGACCCTAAAGATCGGCCATCGGCAGAAGAGGTAGTGATTGAAAACAAATCAATGTTACTTCATCTGCTAAAGGAAATTCTCAAGTCCAATTGGCTTAGAAACACTAATTGTGCCTTTTTTTAGGCATTGTCGGATCCATATTTCCGTGGTTTATCAAATGCTGATCGTGAACCATCTAGACCGCCAATATCAAAGCTTGAGTTTGAATTTGAGAAAAGGAAACTGGCAAAAGAAGATGTTAGAGAACTCATCTATCGTGAGGTGCTGCTTTCTTTAGTATAATAATAATGGCTACCTTGTTAGTGAAATGGTTCAAAGGACTGACTTTAATCTTGTCTTGAGCAAAACAGATTTTAGAATATCATCCTCAGATGCTTCAGGAGTATCTTAGTGGTGGAGATCAGACTAGTGGCTTTATGTACCCAAGGTTAGCTGCTAACTGAAGCTAGTTCTAATACTTTTGTGTTCTTTCTTTTCTAAAAGTTGCTCTGCCTCTTTTGCAATAAAAGCTGGTATTCTTAGTCTTTTACTGGTGGTCAACAAATATAAGGTACATCTAGAGTTTTAACTACTACTCTTCAAAAAATGGAAGAATATCACAAAACATACACTAATTTTTCTTCCTTTTAAGTTTGGAAAAGTTGGTTGTGCTGGAAGTTGTGCTCCTCCCATCCTCTCACAGATAGAGACACAGCAGTGAATCTTCTGGAAATCAAAGGCATTAAGTTTTCAGCAATGAGATGAAAATAATTTCTTAAAACCAAATACCTTAGGCCTCTCTATTCTGATCGTTGTGCTAGCAATACTGTTGTATAGAAAGGATTTCTGCGACAGTAGGGTTGCTGCAGACTTTTAACACAAGGATTGCAAAAGAATATTCATATTACTTTTTTCAACAATGTTGGTGTCCGAGCCAACTTACGCGCACTTCGACTAATCCACCTAGGATCTGCCATCTCTTACTAGCACAAGTACCGGGTAACTTTGCCCACCAAGACTTAGGCAGATTGGTTGAAGTCTCACCTAGTGTCGCCTCAGCTGGAATTTGAACCTTGATTCACTAGGTTTTCACCCTGATTAGTGATTGTCTGATTTATCGTCTTGTGTTGGATCTAATTGATCATCCTTCTTTTAATCTTTTGCAAAGACATGAGTGCTCTTTATCATTTTTTCTCTATCACAGATAGTCGATTAACGTCTTTCAGACTCCCACTTCATATAATTAGGCTAATATATTGTGCCTAATAAGTTTCATCTGCTTCTATTTCTGAAGATTTTTATATTTTGCTATTCAAGGAAATATTGATCATGGTCTTTCTTTTATGTCAATTTAGTGGTGTTGATCGGTTCAAGCAACAATTTGCACATCTGGAGGAGCATTATGGTAAAGGTGAACGTAGCACCCCGCTTCAGAGGCAGCATGCTTCCTTGCCTAGGTGTGTAGTCGAGTCTATGGTTCTTTCTCTGTATTTAAACTACACACATTATTATGCTACACATAAAAAACAATCAGATTTGAAAAGTAGTTTCTCTGAAAAGTTTATCAAATAAAACCAAGGGTTTTTAAAAATACTTTGTGCTTTTACATATGGATGTAGATTTAGAGTTGCTTGCGTTATTTTGTGCAATGACTTACCATTTAGCTCTTATTGTTTGCATATTTCCTCTCTTTTTTTGTCACTGGCGACCTTTGGATTTGTTTACCTGCGATTTCAATCGAGTAGCATCCTTTGTGATTTCAGGATGATGTTGTGCCTATTAAAGTCTCTAGTTTGTCCACATACTTGTACAAAATTCAAGTATTACAGTAGATTGCTAGTTTGGTATTGTACTTTAAAAGCCGAGGGATGTATGTTTGACTACACATATATACAGTTAACATAAGAACTTATTTTCTTTTTGGAATACCTCCGCTGCAGGGAGCGAGTTCCTGCACCGAAAAATGACACCTCTTCCCAAAATAATGATTGTGAAAAGCGAACTGTTTCAACAACTCTTCAGAGCCCACCAGGGCAGTCTGAGGGATCAGAGAACTCAGTTGTCGGTACACAAAATGGAACTAATCAGGCAAATTACAGTGCTCGTAGCTTGCTGAAGAGTGCTAGCATCAGTGCTTCTAAGTGTGTGGAAGTTAAAAGAAGAAACACAGAGGTACTCTTTTTATTCTTCTCTTGTTGCTCGCTTTTTGGATATTGCACTGAGTCTGTTGTTTTCTTTCCCTTGTTATATATTTCAAGCGTTATCTTCTCCAGTAAAGTTTGCCAACTCGCCAACCGGTAAAGTTGCTGCCATGTGACCAAGAGTTCACGGGTTTGAGCCGTGGAAACAGCCTATTATAGAAATGCAGGTTAAGGCTGCGTAATGGACCTTTGTGGTCCTGCCCTTCCCGGGAGCTCGCGCATAGCGAGAGCTTAGTGCACCGGGCTGCCCTTTGTCTTCTCTGTAGCTTTTTAAGCTCTAGAAAATCTCATTGGTATTTATAACACCAATAATCTGGATGACTTCTTACTTATTACTATTTTATTTTATTCTGTTTCTCCTTGCTCCTCGTCTGATTGTTGGTATGATAGGTGTTGATGCTGTATCAGCTTCAGTTAGTTTTAGAGCTTATTTTAATAGTTCTGATAATTTGGAGGTTGCAATCTTAACTCCATTGATTTCTCTGCTATGTTCACTTGTATTGTCTAAACATCAGGGAAAATTGTGTTTCCATAGAAAAATGAATAAAAGAACAAATGCAGACAGTAACAATAACTATACACTCAATAAAGCAAGTGATGAGAATAAATGCCAGTTGTTGCATCTTTTATATTCCTTTACTCATTTGACCTGACTTATTCATAAATGTTTTCATAGGAAGAGCCAATTGAAGAGGCAAACGAGGAAGTTGATGATTTGTCTCAAAAAGTTGCTGCTCTCCATGCTTAATTCTCTGCAGTCGTCTTATACATTACATTTTGATGATGTGCTCTACCATGTCACTGTTTATCCTGCGAATCATCAACATTTTGAAGTTCCGCTCCTTGATTTCAGGTAGAAGCTAATTTTAGGACGTCAGTTTGTTATTTGTGCTATAAAAAATTTAATTGTGTACCATGAGAGAAAATGCTCCAGCTATTTATGGATCGGAGACCATTTTTCTCTCCTTAGATGAGAAGGATAGTTATTCGTAACTAGTTCAAATTTGTAACGATTTGATAAATCATATAATACCCCTATTATACCTTTCTCGAATACCTTCCCTTGTATGGCCTATTATGCAATTGGTTGCTAGATGAATCCAGTGGCATCCGCAGACTGATCCTGATCTTTATTGGTCGTGTATTGATATCGAAATGCCTGATTACTCAATTATGTCATTGATAATTTCCCCTCAGTTGCTACAGATAGTTTATGAGATACTGCTGTTATACTGGATGGTAAATTGGAGCTGGTATCATATGATTCTGATTATAAGGCTGAATAGGGGTATTATCACTTTTAGCTTGTGTCAGAAACTATTTACATCCGGTTGCAGAAGTGTATGAAATTTGTATAATTTTTATATATAACATACACAATGTAAATATATACAAAAAATATAGACATTTTTTCGGCTATTATTTTTACAGCCCCATACAGTGCCATTTTTTCCAGCTGATATCTCTCAACTGCTTCTGGTTCTATTTGTGGTGCAAACTATAACGAATATGAAGGTGTGAAACTAAACTGAATATGGATCAGTGTATAATTTTTTTTGTGTATTTTAACATTTTATAGTACTTTTACCAAACCTCCATAATCTTTAACTTGTATTGCAATAGCTCAAATTTATGTTTAAGTTCTCACACTGAACTAATTAAAGGACTGTATGTGAAGATTTGTATGGTAGCTGTGGATTTTATTGTTCCTTTCTGTGTTTGGTTCTTAAATGGCCATTTGTCTAGAATTCAGGACTCTTTTCACCGAGTCTGAATGTAAAACTATTATGGCGATCTGTAAATTTTACGACTCTAGCTGAATTAAAGTGCTACTTAATTATATGAATTTTTTTAATACTTTATTACATAGGACTAACCATTTACTATTCCAAATTATTCACGGCAAACTAAAAGCCTCCTAATGGGTAAATCCTCTTTGATACATATATAAAGAATAAAAAAGATCATGTCTTAACATGATTAGAGTACTTTATTGTCTCGAATGCACTACACACGATATGAATATTTCATCTAAATCAGAATTAACTAAAAATATAATAGCATTATATAAATGAGAATGGCAGAGAGAGGAAGTGTTTCAGATCGTGCGTATAAATGGGCACAGTAATGTTCGTTTCTCTTACGAAATTGAGATTGGTTTAACTTCTAGGTTTTTATCCTTAAACCCGTTATATTTTTAAATTATGAGCTTATTTTAATATTTGTGACATATTTATGTTCCATGTCAAAATGCTAGGTTCTTTGAACCCATTAAACTCATGCTCCATCGGCCTCTTACCTTATTCCTAAATACAAATTAAACAGTAGTAACTTATGTACGTTGGATTTTACTTCAATATCGAGATTTGTCATTTGATTAACTGCTTATCCAACTATCAAATCCAAAATAGTAATAAAGAGAAAGAAAATCCTGTAGGAATATATAGTAATTAATGCAAATGATAAAAACTGAGGTCCACACACCACAACAATCTACCTTTTGTCAAACACAAGACAGTTGGTCTTAAAGCTACTTTCCTCCCGATTTATTTATTTATTTATTGAGATAAAATTATTAACCATGCACCTTGAAAACAAGGGCCTTCTGCTTTAATCACGAAATTCTTATAGACAATATTCAAGCGATCTAGTAAAGTGCAACATTAGCAAATGACCTACAAAATTTGGGACCAAGGACTATCCCAACTTCTCTTTGTTTATATTTTTTTTACCCTTTGTCTTACCATCATCGGAACAATTGGCATCATTCTTGGGCAACAAAGGAGGCTTTTGTGCTGCTTATCCTCCTCGTTTGCTGGAACAAATATCGATTCAAGATTTAAATTTTAAGTTATAGGTTCATGTCTACTATTCGTTACAATTTCAGTGCAATTTTACACATAAGTTTATAATCCACGCCGAAAATTATGGATTTATTTGAACTCGTACTTAAAATGGTACATCCGCCCTGCGGGAAGAGTAACTAAGCCTAAAATATGTGGTCAATCTTTCACTAGGCGCAAAGTGCTTGTATAGTTGTATGTTCAGAACTACTTCAGGGTTCACTGTTCAGGCTATTTATGCATCATTAGTAACGGATTTGTATTTGTAAGCAAATAAGGACCAACAATGTCACATGTCAACCAAATGCATAACAAGTACACATTCCTTAACAGCATGAAAAAATCGAATCAAATCAATCTCCTTCTTTGTTACAATGAGAATTTCCAAAAATGTTTGTTAGTAATCCGTATTCGTAAAATAATTCTAAGAAACAGAAACAACGGAAAAACAAAAATGTAGAAGAAGCAAAATTATATCTGAGCCTAATGAATTCACGTATTTCCTTAAGAAACTTAATCCCCTTCTAGTACCCGAAATTTAGGATTATTTTCTCCTATGATAGAATGGATAACCACATTGGTATAGCGATACTTCAAACACCAGTGTACAGTGAACACAAATGGTGGCAGTAAATCACACTTACTTTGTTTTAGAAAGAAAATAATGCAGAAAGGAAGAAATTTCAGAATTTTTGAAAGGAAAATTTGAGGGAATGATATGGTATTTATAGCATCAGGTTGGGTTCAAATGAAGAGCCGCAACTCTTCAAGAATGGCTCGCATAAGACGGCTATAACGAAAATGGCTATTTACGCAAAATAAAATCGGAGGGAAATTTAAATTACCGTTACAAAAATGGTCAATTTGGATTAATATATAATTATTTAACAAATAAATTTTGTCCAAATAATTAATCAAATGTGAAGTCGAGCGACGACATCGCAAGATTTGCTTTCTTCTCAACTCTTTAAGAGCTAGAAGAAGTGTAATTATATATATACACACTCAACAAATGAGCTTTCCTCCTCCAATAATATTTCTTTGTAAGGAGTGAAATTCAAAATTTTATTTTTCCCACAATTTCCTATTCACTAAAACCCAACACTGTTTATTGGAGCTTCATACTTTTGTAACAGTATATATAAATTAATGAAGAATATCCAATATTCTCTTGTTTTGGAAAATTCAATGAGATAGACACATATACTCCCTCCGTTCCAGTTTATGTGAACCTATTTCCTTTTTGGTCCGTTCCAAAAATAATGACCCCTTTCTAAATTTGGAAATAATTTAGCTTAAACTTACTATTCAACCCTTAATGAGAAGTTTTTATAACCACACAAATACTCTGGGTCCACAAATTCCAAAAGTCTTCATTTTTTCTTAAACTTCGTGCCCAGTCAAACAGGTTCACATAAATTGGAAGAGGGAGTATATGTTATCATTCATTTCCTCTTAACTTTTAACACGCTCCCTCAATTTCATTATAGTAAAATAACCTTGTCTTTGTAAATCTTTACGAAAACAACGGACTATGTCCGCGCTGGCCACACCACTCACATTTGACATTATATTACGTGCGTACCCTAATATGTTTTCTATAAATAAACTTGATTCTCACTACGTACTTGCCATCCCGCCCCATTCTTCACACTATACTCATCACTATATATATTCACTAATAGTAAAGAATATGATCAATAAAGCCACTCCATTGCTGTTTTTGCCGCTTCTTGTGATAATATTAAGCACTTTAACTCTCATTCAGAGCGATAATGTGTTGCCAGAGACGACGGTTTTCGACACCGGAGGGTTGAGCAGAGACAGCTTTCCAAAGGATTTTGTGTTTGGAACATCAACTTCTGCTTATCAAGTTGAAGGTGCAGCCAGTAAAGATGGCCGTGGACCTAGTGTCTGGGACACTTTCATAAAAAAGCCAGGTATTTTTTTTTCTAGTATGTATCATGTTTTTTTAATACTTTTTGGAAGATTTTGATCAGCGGAAGTTTGAGTTTTTTCCTGGTATTAAAACAGGACGTGAGCCCAATAATGCAAGTGGAGAGGTCTCTGCGGACCAGTACCATCGTTATAAAGTAAGTTTACATGTATTCTGCCAAGAGTCAATTTCTACGTTAATTAGTGTATTTACTATTCTTTGTGATAATAATGAGTCCGGGAGTTAATATAAATATATATATTCTACTAAAAGGAAATATGTTGTTTCTATACATGTAAATCAAGGAAAATATAGTCAGATTCCCTTTGTACCGCTGTATTCTTTTGTCTAAATTCTTAACCTTTCCGGTGTCACTAACAGCTTGTTTGGATGGTTATTTCGTGTCGTTTTATAATGTATTATATTGTGTACTACATTGTATTGTATTGTTTGATGAATATAACGTTTTGATAGATTGTATTGTTTGTCGTTGTTTCATAATGTCACGCACGCACGAACAATGTAAAGAATAAACTTATACTATTATTCTAAGAAAAAATAGGATATATAGTAGAATTATTATATAAAAAAGTAAAGTAAAGGATAAAATATAATTTTTTAATAATAAGAAGAGGCAAGATGAGAGAAAAAAGTTAAGGTAAAAATATCACAATACCAAATCCGTTATTACATTGTATTTAAAATAACTATATAATAGTTAACAAACCATCCAAACTGTTAATCTAAATGTTCTTGAGAATGTAACGAAGTTGATCGTTTTTTTTATTTCCACAAGATTATTTTAGGAAATGCCATATATTTAAATCAGCTAATGAAACTAGAGCAACGCGGTGTTCCGTATTTTTTTTATTGCTATCGTCCCTAGGCTCATGATATTTAGACCACTTAATATTTTTGTATCTCATTTTAGTTCTTTTTTTTTAAGATGAAACTGAAGATTTGACTTTCTTTCTTCTTTTGTTTTGACTTGAGAATTAGAAGGTTTGTTTTTTGGTTAAGATAATTCTTTGAAGAGTTATTTGTTGTAAAATTAGTAGGTCGCAAATGTCATCTTCAATCGCCGCTTGGCTGCGAGAATAGTCAAAGAAAACGATTTCTGGTCTTAACATATTTTAATTTTGAAGGATAATCTTTTATATGGGAATATGAAGCGACAGCTTTAACAAAGATTTGTTTATGGGTTTTTACAGATTTTCCCCCCCTAATTGTGGGGGGTAAAAATCTGTTTTAGCCATCACCAAGGTCAATTTGATAGACAAAATGATTAACTATATACTCCATTACTCTTTCTCGTAACACGAGCTGTGACATGACAGTATAATTATCCTTGAGAAGATTTAAGAAATCCAATGTTCAAATTGAACTTTTTTTAAAAAAAAATACTGTTTACCTTATCAAGGATCACTACTCCATCCCGTACCAATTTATGAGTAGTTTTGACCAATTACATTTATGTTAAAATATTTGACGTTTGGACAAAAAAAAAAGACCATTTATTACTTCTTTTGAATTCAATCCATACTGTTTAAGTTAGTGAGGTTTAACTAAATAAGATGTATAAAGAGAGAGAAAGAATAGTTTAGACAAATATTGACATTGCTATTCAATAATCTTCTTAAATGATGTACACAAATTTTACTGTAAAAGATAAGAATATGGACCGGAGGGAATAGTGGTTTTGCACAACTCTCATGGATAATAGCATCATGTATAGAAATTTAACCTTAAAATAATTACGATTTTATGACGTGAAAAATTAACTGAATCCTTTTCTTGGATACAGGAAGATATTGATCTAATGGTGAAGCTGAACTTTGATGCTTACCGTTTCTCAATTTCTTGGTCCAGGATTTTCCCAAGTAATTTCATGTCTCCTTTCTTCTTTTCACTTCTCAACTTTAATATCTAGCCTTTTGCATAAACATTAATAATATTCTTTTATGTCTCACTTTTCCAATGTAGATGGAACTGGAAAAATTAACTGGAAGGGAGTTGCTTATTACAACAGGTTGATTGACTATATGCTCAAAAAAGGTAAAACTTATCAATGTTTGTCCATAAGATGTGCTAAAAATAACATGTGTGGTATGAATGTAGCTTTTTGGCAGCACGTACAGACACACCTATTACATTTTGTCTAGAACTATACATATATTATGCGTACATTTGTCACAAAAAATAGTCGATGTAAGGGTACGGGTTTAAAATGCTGCATTAGTTTATATTGAACATTTTTTTTTTTGCAGGCATTACTTCATATGTTAATCTTAATCACTACGATTTACCTCAAGCACTTCAAGATAAGTACAAGGGATGGTTGAGTCATGAAGTCGTGTAAGTACAGTTGTACCTCTGTATAACATCATCGCTATATAACAATCATTCACTATAAAAATTAAGTTTCTTTGGAACCATCTTTCATGTTATGTTATAATATATATTTTTTATAACAATACGTTGCTATAACAACTAAAAATATTTAGAACAAATGAGGCTGTTATAAAGAGGGTTGACTGTATATCAAGAAAATATACCCCACATGATTTCTTGTCTTGATGAATAAGATAAGCTAAGGTTAAAACCTTGTTACTTCTTTGTTCTGAAAATGCTTTTGCCATTTAAATCTTGCAGGAAAGATTTTGCTGATTATGCAGAATTTTGCTTCAAAGCATATGGAGACAGAGTCAAGAATTGGTTCTCATTTAATGAACCAAGAGTTGTTGCTGATCTTGGGTATAACACTGGGTACTTTGCACCTGGTAGGTGCTCCAAAGCATTTGGCAATTGTATATCAGGGGATTCTGCAACTGAGCCATATATTGTTGCACATAATCTAATATTGAGCCATGCTGCTGCAGCTCAGAGATATCGCGATAAGTATCAAGTAGGATAATCCTTTTTTATGTTTAACTTATATACACTAACAATGTAAGAACTTTACGTTATCGTATATTTTAATATGTTGTAGCAGGTAAGCTACCTTTTTTTCAGACCACTAATCTTATTTCTATTATAGACCATTACTTGTGCTAGTTATGGAAGTTGAAACTATTTCTTTTCTTCTTTTTTTTTTGCTTTATCTGGATATAACGGAAACTGTGCCCTCCAAGGGTAGTACTAAGACTTCGTACATGCTACTCTCCTCATACCGTACTTGTGGAATTTCACTAGGTTGTTGTTGTTGTTGCTTTATCTGGATATCGTACACCATATTTCAACTCAAGACATACTAGGAGAAGAGGAGCAAGTTTTAACTTAATCTTCTAATGGCAATCACAGGAGAAACAGAAGGGAAAATTTGGAATTATCTTGGATTTTGTTTGGTTTGAACCTCTGACTAGATCCAAAGTGGACAATTATGCTGCTCAAAGAGCAAGAGACTTTGAATTGGGATGGTAAGAATTTGCAAATATGGCACTTCATCACTTAATACTATTCAATCCTCTGCTTAAGCCTTATATTAAGAACAGCAGTTTATTTGGACTTTATTATACAGGTTTTTGCATCCTCTAGTATATGGAGAGTACCCCAAAACCATGCAAAATATTGTTGGAAATCGATTACCCAAATTCACAAAAGAAGAGGTTAAGATGGTCAAAGGGTCAATTGATTATGTGGGCATAAACCATTATACTACCTTCTACGCATTTGATCGCCATCTATCCAAACCAAAAGCCCTTGGCTACCGTCAGGACTGGAATTGTGCATTTGCTTGTAAGATACTAATGTATTAGTTTCACTTCTTTCTTTTAGCTAGCTGAAAAAATGTTCTGATTTCCTATATAAAGACTATTTGATTCTAAATAGCCTGATGCAGATGATCGCAAGGGAGTACCAATTGGTCCTAGGGTAAGCACATTGAATTTAATGTTTTTGTACCTCAAAACATTGGTGTATTTGATGCCATGTGACCGCGGGTTACTGGTTCGAGCCGTAGAAACAACATCTTGCAGAAATGCAGGATAAGACTACGTAAAATAGACCTTTGTGGTTCGGCCCTTTCCCGGACGGCCGGATCTTGTGCATAGCGGGAGCTTAGTGCACCGGTCTGCTCTTTTTTACCTCAAAAAAAGACTATATTCCTAAATGTTGGCTAATTCCATCTTTATTTCGAATGCCTGTAGGCGCACTCCGACTGGCTCTATATTGTGCCTTGGGGTCTATACAAAGCTGTCAACTATGTAAAAGAACACTATGGAAATCCTACCATCATTTTATCAGAAAATGGTATACTTAATCAACTAGTAAAATGTTTTGAAACTGCTATTACCGAGTCTTGTTTGAATTTCCAGACCAATTTAAAAGGAATTCTAAGGACTAACTATAGATGATTTTTCAGGTATGGATTATGCAGGCAATATTTCCCTTCCTGAAGCTTTGCAGGACACCAAAAGGACTGATTACTACAGAAGCTATTTGGCCGAACTGAAGAAGGCTATCGTTGAAGGAGCTAATGTCACAGGCTACTTCGCGTGGTCATTGCTCGACAACTTTGAGTGGAGACGGGGTTATACTTCTAGATTTGGTATAATCTATGTTGATTACAGAACACTCAAGCGATATCCGAAGATGTCAGCCTATTGGTTCAAGCAATTACTTCAACACCATATGCATTAAGCTGACTTTGCCTCCTGTATTTGCTTTCTCTTTTAAATAGTTTGCTTTGTATAGGAAATGCGTGTTTAGAGTAATTGGCCCCCGTAGGTTGGCTTTGTGAGCTCTTCTTAGAGGCTAGAATTTCTAGTCCTGGTAGTTTTATAGAACATCATATAGCCTTCAAGCAATATACACGGGCACTGTAGTTTCATGATTCGTAATATTTCCATGATTCCAGCATTTCCACCGTTGAAATCGAGATCTCGCTTATCAGATTCCATTGTGGAAGACACAATTTTTCTGATGAATTCGTCATGATATACTTAATCCATGCATAATATCATAAAAAATGAGTACAAATTTTTGACTACTACTTAGCATTAGCAATAGATCTCTTCAACTACTTATGAGGTTTGAACCGCCAACCAACTCTTTCGACTTGAGAGTCATCAAAAGAATGAATGACCGCTAGAGGGGGAAAGTGATAGACATTAGTTCCCTACTACATCTTTGTTAGGTGTTGTTCCGATAGAAATTGAATGACCACTAGAGGGGAAAGCATTTATAAGTCTTGAATCACTGCAAAAACTGTTCTCTTTTTTGTTATTCAATAGCTCTTATCTGCCGTACCATCAAGATTCTAACTGTCACAAATTTACATAAAATTGAAGACAAGTTTGCAAAATCTCTTGTTCACAGAATGAGCAATAACCTACGGCTAAGAGTGCCGATTTTCATGTCCTTTTGTATGCACAACCAAAATAGTGGTACTAATAAGTAAGAAACCAAACAAGGGAAGAAGAATAATTTTGCCTTTGAACTATTTGAAATGTGTTAATTTTGTTCTCCGTTTCATTTTTGGCCTAAAATTGCTCTCACTATTAGCTAGGTAGTGTTTGACCCAAAAGATACTGAACCCTTTTTGGTTAAATCAATTAAAAGAAGATAAAAGGGTAAATCTCAGCTAAGTATAATAAACTCCAGAATGAGAGACATGAAGGATGAACAAAGTAAATAGTATGTATTGATCTCGTGGAACAGATGAATTAAGTGTGTGAAAAATGATCACCAAGAATGTAGAGTGAATATTACAATGGAAGTTCTTCGTCCCAAAAAAGTCCCCTTTACAAGATTTTTTCCTCATCATATATAAGGGACAACCCCCTTCTGTACCCTAAAAGACATATCATAGGGAATATTCGAAGGTATATTCCTAATGCCCCCTGCTAGGCCTACACTACTGCAAAAGTCATATGCCTTTTGTCCACTGTCGGTCGTCGTCGTCCTCCATAGGACGTCATGCTGTGAATGTGAGCACGTGATTTTTTCCCTATATGAATTACTCTCATAAATTCAAGAAAATAATTTCTTTTCATTATTTGCAATTTTGTGGCATTTTCTGTTAATTATTTGCATTTATTTGTGCATGTTTATTCTATTTTAATTAATGGAAAATACAAAAAATGTGTTGCATGTGCATTTAGGAGTTAATTTTGCATTTTTAGAATTAATTAGTAATTAAGTTACTTTATAATGAGGGAAAATCACAAAAAATAGTTCAATTTGTACTTTTAATGTTAACTTTTAGTTTTGAGTAGATTCCTTTAATTTGTTGTCATAATTATCATTAAGGATTAATTATTGTTTTTGGTCAATTAGATTCTAGGATTTAATTCAGATTTTTATTTAATTTTGAAAAAAAAAAGAGAAAGGAAAAGGAAAAAAGGAATTAATTTTGAAAAGGAATGAAGAGATGGGTTGTTTAGGCCAAATTAAATGATTTTTATTCCAGGCCCAATGTTTTGCTCTCCAAACCTGTCTGGGCCAACACCCACCCGGAACCAGCCCCTAGCCCGGTGCGGTCTCCCACTTGATCGAATGACGTTGTTTTAACGGCCTTTAATCTGAGCCATTGATCCCTTCTGATCCAACGGATTAGAACTCGACCTCCCTAGGGTATATTACTGTCCGAACAACCCCTACCCCCCCACACCATTCCACTTCCCGTCTCATTCTGCCTCTCTCCCAAACCTTAGAGACCGCCGCCTCCACCTTGCTCCGCCTTACTCCGCCCACCGAAAATCGCTTCACGGCGGTTCTGGTAGTCCAATCACTACTAAATTAACACCATGAACTCCCCTCCACCTCCCCATCCCAAATCGCTAAACAATTCCCCTCAAATCCCCCTCCACCGCCTCGAATTTCAGATCTAAGGTCAGCGCCTAAAACCCTAAAATTCCCAAAATCCGCCCAGAATTACACCACGCAACCCCTCATCTCCTTCCTTCCTCAAAATGTGCTTGTTTCATCTCAAACCGGTCCATCAGTGGTGGAGCAGAGGTCTGGAACGCCCTAGGTTTCTCCCTAGTTTCTTTTCTGGTTCAGCAAGTTGAGTGAACCCAAAACTGTCATTAATCGTTTGTCTTTTGTCAAGGACAATCGATTAATGATCGTCAAAGGTTCACTTTCTTCTTCAGAAGGTTGTTCGAGTTCATGCAGTTCTTGCTAAAGTAGGTCTGGGATAATTTTCTTGGTGTCGATTGGTTTCCTTTTGATCTTTTCTTTTGTTTGTTTGTTGTATTTCCAGCTTCTTCCTTCAGAAGTTTCATTTTTTGCTTAATTGCATTATGTTTCTGGTTTTAAGTTCATTAGTTAGCTTGTTTGCTTAATTGTTAATGACAATCGGTTTCATAGGGTTTGAGTTTAACTTGGTTTCAATTCGTGAGATTCTCTTCTTTCTGCTAGGTTTCATTTTATGTTTGTGAATTAATTCTGGAACTGAAGCATTAAGATTAGTCAAGTATAGTTCATCGTTTGCATTAATTCTTGTTTCAAGATCATTTTCTGAATTCATGTCTATGTGTGAAGGATTTTAGGCTAGTTCTTCATAATTTCAATAATTGTTTTGAATTTCAATCTGGTTGAAAGTGTCAGCTCGTTTCTTTACTGTTTATTGTGATTGTGAGCATTCAGAACTTACGAAGGGGTAAGTGCATAACTAGGAAAACTTTAGGGGTAGCTCTGGGAATTGGTTTAAATTGGAGAATCTTTTCATAACTGATTGGGAAGCTTCCTAAATGGACAACTGTTCAAAAATTATTAGGAAAACAGGCTAGAAATTGAAAATATCTGAAAAAATGGACAGCTGTCCAGAATTCAGTTTCAAAAGATGCCTTGTGGGGGGATTTTGGGCATTTGGACTGCCTTGCCTTGGAAGGCACACCACAGACCCTCCCCTCCTATAAATGAAACCTGCCTTTCACTAAATAGGGAGGGACAAGAGGGGGGGGGGAATTCTGAAAGTTGGAAAAATGGCTGGCTCTTTGAGAAAACTCTGAAAACAACAATAGACATCCCTGCAATTTCCCTGTTAGGAATGGACAAAATTTTGTTTAGCTTTCGATTTCTCCTTCTCTTGTGGTAGTCAGAATACTTCAAACTCACTACTTATAATTCTGATTTGAGAACTGGCTTGAAGACCGAGTTCTCGATTACTATTCCTCTACTGTCCATTGCTGGTTTTAAAGTTGTTTTCTGCTGTTATTCCATCTCGCTGGCTTGCTGCTGTTGCTGTCTCATCCTGACCCTCCAGCTTGATTTTCTTGTTTTGTTTTGCTATATTCAGGTACTTTATCTTGAGCTCAATCAAATGTGAATTCAGATTCGAAGCATGAAATGAAAAGAATGAAATTTAGAGCGATGCTTCAACCAGTATTATAATTTAGTTGTATTGTATTATGTTCTGATTTTACATCACCTTCTGGCTGGTTTCTGGTCTATAATAATTGAATTTCATCCTTGTATGGGACTTGAGTACTGTTAACATTACTATAGTAGAAGATTCAATTGAGTTATAGGTGTTAGATTTGTGTTAATTTCTGCTGGACACATTGAATGGATGTTTGCCTTCATGCCATTTAGGTTTGTGATAAGCTAGTACTCTATTTCTGTAACTATGCTACCCTTATGTTGGTTTTGCTCAAAGGAACGGTGGTACTGTCCTCATGAATGAAAATAGGAAGTCAGTATAATTATTAAGTCCATCGAAGAATTTGAATTAGTTTGATCCACGTGAATTTGTTGAGAGTCAATGTTTTGATGTTTATTTTTGGGAAATGTTGGTTCCAGTATGCTAGAATTGACACACATAGGAATGGGATAAGAAATATTCAATGGTAGTTTGCCTTAGTGTCGAATACAGCTGCCTGGGAAACTGTGTGTTGCTTGTTTTCCTTGAGATAATTAATTGAATGGCTTTGTGAATTAATGTTTAGTGTATGAAATGGGAAACCCAGTTAGTAATCAAAATCAGAATTAAACATTAGTTTTATTTCATATTTTCATATAGTTTTGGTTGATTGGTATCTAATGGATCCTACACAAGCATTGGTTCTGAAAATTGGGCTAACAGCTGGCCCAGTTATGGTGTTCAAACTTCAAAGCATGCAGAGTCAATTTGTATGTTATTTGCTCTTGGGCGTCCCGTATTTGTTAAGGTCGGACTCGTTCAAGTCCAAGCCCAAGACGGAAGATATTTCAAATGGGTCTAGGTGGGGGTTAATTTGCCTTTGAATTATTTGGTATTTAGCATAATTTTATTAGCAATAAATGGATCAAACTCTTATTTTCGAAATAATTAGAGTGCCCTCTGAGTTGCTCCTTAATTACTGAATTCCCATAAATTAGAATCAAAGTGTGACGTGCCAAATAGAATCTAAAATGCATGGCCCTCATTTAATTAGTTCTTTCAAATCCTTAGAAATCGAGGCGTGCCATTTAGTTGAACTTCCATGGTCCTCGCAAATTTGAAAGTGTGTAGTTGCTTTAGGCATACTATTTTAATGACATTACATTCCTAAATTCGGGTGCGCATTTATGTGACCCAAATCCAAATCTCAACAATGTTAGATAAAATGTGTCGAGAGCTGCGGGTGCATTTATGTGACGTGGTTCAAAACGCGTTTTATATGACGTTGAGTTTTTCTTAATTAAATAAAAGCAGTTATAAAACTAAAATTTGCACATAGGTTCATAATTGTTTAAATCAGATAATTAAGCCGAATATAACAGTTGAGCGACCGTGCTAGAACCACGAAACTCGGGAATGCCTAACACCTTCTCTCGGGTTAACAGAATTCCTTACCCGGATTTCTGGTTCGCGGACTGTAATATAGAGTCAACCTTTTCCTCAATTCAGGATTTAAACCGGTGACTTGGGACACCATAAATCTCCCAAGTGGCGACTCTAAATCTTT